CTGGAGAAAAGAGCGCAAAAATATGAAGTTATTTTAGAAACATGCAGGCGGGCATTTTTTTTTCGAAAATCATGCTTCAGAAAACCACTTTTTCGCAAGACATACTTTAGCAAATAACTTTCGGAAAGATAATTTCGAATTTTTTCTATGCCTATTTCATGCCCCCTCTGGTCTTTCCTACTGATAACTTGACGCAAAATTGTCCAAATTATCACTTGGCGAAAATGTGAATGGAAATTGACGCCTTCAACTCCAACGGGAACCTAGCGAAAAAGCCTTGGCCATCCCTTTAAAATCTATATTTTTACCTAATGCCACCACATCACTGGCGGCAGTCATGCGCAGCAGCGATGCGATGTACCGGTAAATAATTGTGGCCGATGGGGCTGGACGGTGGCGAGCACCTCCCGGATGAGTCAGAATATTCAGAAAATGAGGCGCGGATAGATCGTATATATCCGCCCGGAAATGCTGACGGGGGGCAGTGGGTGATGACCAGACTGAGGAGGGAGAGCGATAAAAGGCCCAGCCTCTGTCTGGGTTATTGGTCGCTTGCTAAGGAGATTTGTCGCGCCGCTGGGAAAGACTACTGGCTGCCCGGGCCGGCCGATGAGGTGTGTTGCCGTCCGCTCTGGAGGCGGGGATTTCTGAAGAATTTTTCGCACAGCCATCGCCACACACAGCTGCACATTGCCCACCCCGCTGATTACATCCGGTCTGAGCTCTCTGGGATTTATGGAAAGGACGGCAATAATATTTAGAGGCGCCAGAGGGGTGAAGAACAATTAGAGGTCTAATTGGGGGCCCCCTACTATTTTGAGCCTAGAGAGTTTTTTTTTGGCTGAGACTTATTCCATGGGAAACTTCCGGGTAATTGGACCCAAAAAGTCCCGGATAGGAGGGTGGTGCTTTCAAACCGCTTTTAAAGGGACGGAGAATCGCAAAAAAATGACAACTTATGAGTTTAAACGTAAAATAACGTTTCTCCAGGTTGACATTTTGTTAATCACGCGTTAAAAATCAGCAAAATCGGCGCTTTCAGAACAAATATTCTCTAAGACTACACTAGATCAACACTTTTTGAAGGATGGGATGGGATTTGCTCGGAATTTCAGCGCAAGACGCCAAAAGCGCTCAAAGAGGACTCCTTTTGTGATCCAAAGCGTTAACATTTAGAAAACGCATTAAAAACGCGTAAAAGATGATTATTACCTGCGAAACTAAAAAAAGTTAAACAAAAGAACGATGGTAATTTAAGAATAAAGTAGCATGAAACTGCCCGGATCCGGCCCCACATTACAAAAGTCTTTCTAAAATCAACATATACTGGAAAACGTCAAGCTTCTGTATTATGTAGCCGCCCGTATTTTCTCCACTCAAATTCACCCACTAATTGAAAACGTTCGACTTGGCCGATTCGGTCGTAGCAACATCCGGGCGCGAATCCAAGATTGATGGTCCTCTTAGCACAACAATGAATCTCGTTTTGTTAGAAGATAATGGGTTACCATGCAACCAACTCCCCCCGGCTCGAAACAAATCTATCTCGGTCGGGGGCTCAACTGGGGCGCGGCGGTGGCCGACGAGAAAATGACCAGATTAGTCGCAATACTCGCTGGGAGAACAATTCCTTGATTTGGGCCAAGAAAAATTATGCTCGCTTGTCAAAACCGCAAAGCTAGCTTCGAATTCACGACCGAAAATTCGTTCTTAAAAATCAGAAATTCAAGAGGCTATTTTCGAAAATCATCAGTTCGACAGATTTTTTAGCTTTCTTTTTTCGCTTCTCTAGCTGACAATCAAAAAAGCCCAAAAGTGGCAAGAAATAGCAGTGCAAACCTTCCAAAGCTTTTGGTCTAGAAAAAGTAACTTTTGAGAAGCAGAATTTTTGGAAGATATGCGTTTTCGTAACTATGCCTTTCCAGGAACGTGATTTTCAGGAAATTAACTCTAGAAAAATGATCCTCGACCTTTTGACCCCCTAGCCCAATATTCGATCTAGGTTACGTACCACGATTTTTTCTAAGTCCGTTTTTCCCAAAACTTACGATATGTGGCGCTGGCTCGGCTGGGGCGAAGCAGCATAGATGGAGGGCTGGGCTATAGTGCGAAGGTGAGATCTCTCGAGTTCTTAGACGGTACTCTAGAAGTGCGGCTCGAAACTAGGCGACTAGATCTGCGAAACAAGCGTCGATTTCGGTGACAAATATGCTGGATTAGAGGCGTCGGCGTTAGCGAGCGAAACGAGAAAATATATTTGAATTTTGGAGCGTCAAACGAATTTTTAGAGTACAAGTCATTGCTACAAAATTCCGGGATTTGCGCAAACGGAGGTATCTTATTACAACCTGTATATTATAGTTTCTTGCCTAAAAATTTTAGTAATGTTTTCTAAGGTGTGTTAATAAATTCTTGGATTGTAGTATTCTAAAAAAATAGTGGATTTTGTTTACGAGAAAACCCGAACTTTTCAAGGCTAATCTGTTTCTAGAGATACTTTGTAAAATGAGCTAATACGTAAATGTTTTTTTTACGAAAAACTTGGGAGTTAATCGCTAGTTAGAAGAGCACCAAAAATGAACATTATTCTGGACAAAGTTGCGTAAGAAAAGCTAAACAACCAGCAGATCGTGCAGCCTCTGCGTTCCGCTTATTCGTTAGCGCACCTGAATGCCCTATTTGTTAGGCGGCACCTCCAACTCGAGTAGCCCCAGTCAATTCAATAAAAAAGGCCGCGCAACCCCGCGGGGTGGCCTCGTTGAGCAGCGCCACCAACTTATCCCCCCAGCACACACTTTGTTCAGCCTAATTGCAGGTGTGCCGCGCGGTCGAGAAAGCTCAAAAGGAGAAGCCCGGCCAAGGAGAAGAAGCTCAAAAAAGAATTTGTGAGAACTGGCTGGAGTTGGGGATGTGAAATGTGAATGTTGAGGTCTTTCCATCCATCCGGGTCTCCTTCCTGCTTCTCCTTCCTTCGTTCCTTCCTCCACATGCTGTGCGTGTCCAGGGCCTTCACCCGCTCAGCCCCGGAGGAGCACATTTCATTAATTTTTCACCACACTCAACCCCCCGGCTCATCACGACGACTGGAGCCACTCCCGGGGAAAAGCGGTTGAACCCGCTTGGCTTTTTTAGCGGGGGGGAAGCCGTGGAAGTCTAGGCGTGCCAACAAACTGTCTGGGAGTTTTGGATAGAGATTTATTTAATTAGAAATTTTACGATGGTTGTGCTTACAACTTGTAATTTTTAGGCACCAGAGCTCCTAAAAAACGCTCTAAATTGCTCTCGCCATCGCGAGATTTTCGAGCCCATCGTCCAAAAACAGACCGCCTCTTTTGTCGGGCCCCTAATCGCTCTATTCAGCCATATATTTTCATTATCCGCCACGAGTCGCCGTTCATGAAAATATATCTCGCTATTTTGGCCGCAGATTTGTCATTCCCGACGCCGGAAATGGGTGAAAAATATACTTTGCGCTTCCTCGTAAGCAAGGAAAAACCCCAGGAGAACCCATAATTTCCCCCGTAAAAATTGATATCCTGTTTTCAAAAAGTTTTTTTTTTAAATTTTACAAGAATTTAGATTTTTTGGGACTCGTAGCCAGTTAAAAGAACCAACCTCGCACAACTCGGCGCGCGTTGAACATTTCGTCGCGTCGGTTTCTTTGACTGAATCGTCGAATGGCCCCGAGATCACCGGACCGCCACCAATATCCCGCGCTCAAGTAGTTGCCCCCCTTCAGCGGCACAGATTCCGGCGGATATTGGCTCGGGCAAGGAGGAGAAGCGGCGGGCCGGAATATCCGGGAGTACTGTCAAGTGGACACGTTGTTTATCCTTCGCGTAGAACCTGCAATGCGTGAACATTCGTCATGGAAAGATGGCCAACCCCGGATTAAAGGTTTTGCAATTTATGCACGTTGTCGTGACCTATTTCCCACCCGAGAAATTCACCCCCGCATCGGGAAAAGATGAAGCTTCCGGCTTCTTCCGTGTTTCATAGAGTTGCAAATGGGGGAGATGGGGAGAAATTGCATATTTTTACTTTGCGGGAATTAATGTAAATGGTTGTGAAGCCGAAATTTAGTTTCATAGCCTATAAATGTATTTTGATTGCGTGTTTGCTAGCTTCCGATATCCTAAATGTTTTAAAAGTTTTTAACTTTGAAAAACAATGTTTTCAGCGTTTTTTAGTCATTTTGATCCGGTTTGGCAGAAATTCAGACGTTTTCAGCTTTGAAATAGTTAAAACATTTGTATCTTTATGCATCGAAAATTGTTGCAGAATTCAGATACATCCCAGCCGATTTACACTAAAAATATGCAGGAATCAAGAATTTTCAATTTCTTTTATCTTCCATATCTATTTTACTTTCCGGGAATTAATTTTGAAGCTGCGAAAAACTCTAAAACTCGGCAAATACCCACATTTCCCAGGTACATACCACTTTTCCAGGGCGACTCGTTGGGCGATGCGTTGCGCCGTGTCTTTGGCGGTATTCTGATCGGCGACGAAGGAGCAGCCCCGGCAGCCGACCAAGACGAGCAGCCACCACCAGATGCAGCTCCTCAGTGATTACCACCTCTCACGCCAGCTCAACGAAAAACAACCCCCCTGCGGCCTTTAGAACCCCCCACTATTCCTGGTTTTGTGCGTCCCGTTCTCCTCTAATCCTTTCACAATTCTCTTCCACAAAAAAATTACCCACCAACGTCCCATTTCCGGGGCAACACGGTAAGATAACAGCGTTCATTCCCCGCGCGCCACTTCTGAGTCAGTGACTTTCACCCGGTTATTAGGCCCTCGTCGCCACGGATAATTTTCTCCTTCTTTTAAATGGGTCCACGTTGTGATTGGTGTTCTTTGCCGTTCCATTTCAATAAATTTATCCACAACAGACAACGCTGGATTCGAGGGCAGCTATAACAATGTGAGGGAATCACCCGTAAGTGCATAATAGGGGGGAATCTATAACGGAAACAAACGAACAAAAAACCTCTTTAAATGACGTTGGCCGTGGTTCCTAGCCAGTCTCGCATATATTGGCATGTTTCTGGGGCGATGACATGTCCGGGTTTGCAGTCATCAATTACCTGGAATTGAAGAAATAATACTGGCTAGATGTTTAAAAATCATGGCATAAGTTAGAATATTACTTACCGGGCAGGTCGCGCATGGAATTAATACCAATGGAGAAGCTTCCGGCACTAGAAAAAAAACAAGATACTCATCATCAAGAAATAAAGCTCACTCACCATGTGCCGTGGCGCGCACCCTCCCATCTGGCCGTCTTTCTGCGCTCCCGTCCAAAACGGCAATCTAACCACAAAGCTAATTTTATACAATTCCAATCTACCTCTAAAATACGATCAATGTCTTCCTCGGTTACAGTCACGTTCAGTAATCGCTTCTCCGTAACAAAATTAGCAATCTAAACCAGGGCTTTTCGTTGACCGTTAAAGAATTACGGCTGCCGGTCGTTACGAGGCTCAACTCCTTTTGCATCTCCAAATTTGATGCAGCGACCTCGCGAGCTTCGTTTCGCTTCATGTTCAGGAAACTGATCGAGACGGACACCTGGAGAAAAACTATTGCTTAACGATAAAAATACCAAAGATTGAATAAGTTCCGCATCGAGTTGTCGGTCAGAATAAAAGTTCCTCCGGTCAACGAGGTGCTCGGCTCCAATTGGGACAACATGTAGCATTTTTTCGTCGTGCCCACCGCCTGAAAATATTATATTGGCAATTCCGTATGTTTACGTATGGCATTTGAGAATAGAATAAAAATTACAAAAATAGTAAACAGAAAATAAAGCACCTTGACCGTCTTGATTAGTTTCCGCGTTTCGAGCTGCTTGAGCACCTTCCGCAGCTGCAGCTGAGAGAGGCCGGATCCGTCGCGTAGTTCTCGGATCCAGATACCGCTAGTGGAGCTCTCCTCGATCAGCTGGTAGATCTAAAGCTCAGGGCTTAACTCTTTCAATAAAAAACTCACCAGCTGCTCTTCCTGTGAAACGCCTTCCAGCTGCGTTCCCGATTTGAGTCTAAATCAAACTTGAATTCGTCCAAAATATCGCTTTTACTTGAATCTTATCTGTCCAGCAACTTGGATCAAGTCGAGCTTTTGTTGGGCTAGCAGTTGGTTAATTGCATCCTGAAAAAAAAAACTAAAATAAAGGTTCTAAAAAAAGTGAACCTGTCGCTCCTTGGCGGATAGATTCGGGGTCAGCTGGTTGAGCGTGTCATTGTCAAGCCCATCAGCACGCCCCTCGATCAACCGATACACTTCATCCGTCGCGTCAACTACTATCTAAAGCGAAATTTGAGTAAAATGCCGAAATAACATACCTCATCCCTTGACACGATTTTCCATAGGATGCCAAGTTTGGTGCTGGATGCCGCCTAAAAATTCGGGATTGACGTGAAAGGGAATTAGCAAAGGAACAACGAAGAAAAACCGGTTTTAAACTAAACAGACAAATTTTGTGCCTAAAAATTGAAGAAGAATTTGAAAAAGTAGAAATTATCGAAGAAAAACAGTGATGAAGCGATGAGTTCTAACATTTAGAAGCGCTATTTACGCCTCAAATTTTAGGATCAAGTTGGAAAAGGGGAAATTAGTCGAGAAAAACAGAAACGATGATGATTTCAAGCTTTAAATTCACGTTTTTAGGCCAAAACAAGCCTCGTATCAAACAAAAAACTCATTTTAAAGGGATAGCGACGGCATAGCCAATCGGTTACGCGCTGGAAGGAAAATGTCTCTGCGCCTCTCCCCAGGGCGCGATCTCTGCCCTGTTGGCTACTTGCCAATTTGTTGATGGGGGGGATCGACACATGCCGTCGGCAGCCCTTTAAAGGTGATGGCAAGTTGGGAACACTAAATATAATTTTGCGCGCACTAATAGATCCGATTACGACATGGTCTAGTTTGGGAAATTTTGCCAACTTTGTGCAACCGCTCTCTTTGTGCCGCGTGGCGGGCGCGCAGCGTGTCCCTACTGCACCGTGGTTTCCCGTCGAAACGATGAGTTGAGATCGACCGGTCTGCCAGCTCCTCCCCCCTAATAAAATCTATCCACTTCTTCTCCCCTTCTAATAAAATGAAGCTGAATTTTGCTATTTTCGCTTCTTGTGATAGCGCTGACGCGTTGCGAGCTAAATATACCACACGTGAACCGGGCGTTGGCATTCATTGCCCGCCTCTACTCCCTACGCCCCGAGAGAGCGCCCGCACACAGCCACGTCGAATGTACTAAGATTTTCCGGTTGAAAAACGGGTTTTGTTTTGAGTTTTGTTTATTTATGTCTTGTGGGGAACCGGGAAAGTGCTGGATGCGTGGGTAAAGAGGTTACAAAGTTGACCTAGAAACTGCGGCGCACTAATTGCGGGACTTACGGAAGTGTAACCGTTTGACAAGTCACAGCGGCCCGGCGCCTAATAAAGCGTCCGGTAGAATTGGAAACCAAGAAAGACCGCAACGCGTGCGATGGACGCGTCGCGCCATTGCGAAGCCACAGCTAAAATCATGCTGCTATTTCGCGCCCCAGGCAAAACCCGTGCCAGTACGCCTTTTCCCGGGAGCCATCGGGACCGAACCCATGGGCGGTTGTGAAGTATCGTTTTGGCAATTCGCAAGTGTCGCATGGGTTTCCACTTTTTGTAATGCGCTAATTATGCCAGTTTAGACCCTAAAGCCGCGTTTTAACGTTTAAAATATGCCCGAATACCTTAAATTACTTCTTATGATGTATTCATGCATAATTTAGTTTAATTTTTATTGTTATAACAGGTTAATTTCGGAAATCGTCCCCCGCAAGCCCAGGGACTTTTGCTAAACGTATAAAATATAACCGAAGACCCTAAGCACTACTATTGATGTAGTATTACATAGCCTGGGTTATTGTTTGTTCTTTCTATACAAATTTAACGTAGGAACATGCGATATTTGCTAATTGCCGTCTTTTTTGTCATTTATTATACCAATACATCGCCGCAATGAATACCTGGCAACAACACTTTCCCGCGACCCACTATATTGCTGGGCATTGCCTGCCCGGCACCAATTCGTCCTCGCCAATAAACAACATTTTTCTGTCGCCACGGAGTCGTACCCCACGAACTTTGTTTTTTTAGGGTCGTTAAATGGCCGACGACGTCATCGCCGATATCTCCTCAGATGATGGCGAGGCCCAGGAGCAGCCAGCGGCAGCCAAGGGGCCAGGTTAGTGAAATACGGATGTTGTTCGTTTTCCTAGATATAATTTTTCCAAATTCTTTTTTTTTGTTAAACTCGGGCTGTTTCTGAACTTATACCTAGGTTTCAAAAATCTTGCAGAACCAGCTTACAAGTGGCAAAAAGTCTCAAACTCCAGTAAAAACGGATTGGGAAAAGAGCCCGCGCTGTAAATACATAGAAGAGAAGTCAATTACTTTTTGTAGTGACGCCACCATCTGAAGAGACGGCTCATGTGAATGCTAGTGGTGACGGACCGACCCCAATTCTTGATGCTCCCGGCGCAGAGGAGGAGATCGACCTCGACTATGCTGAAGATTTACCACGTGCCGAGGAGGTATTCCACTGTTTTGTGTTTTTTTTGTTTAAGAGCAATGGTTGTAAGTAAGAAGTTAGCTGGAAAGTAGAGTAAAAAAGTCTCCATCTGTGATTTGGATCAAACGCGCAAGCGAACAAACTGCAAAAGCGGTACGAAAAAAAAGCCAGAAGGGATGACGGAAATCTTAAATTTTCATAGAAATTACGTTAAAACACAAAATAAAGCATATTAAAGGGATGCCGACGGCATAGTCAATCGGTTACGCGCGAAAGAATGTCTCTGCCCTCCCTGGGCGGCTCTGTTGGCTAGCAATTTGTTGTGGGGTCGCTGCGTCGGCGCGACGATGCTTAGGAAGAGGGTGAGGCGGAGACGTCTCCTGACAACGGAAATGAAAATGAGAATGAGAATGAAGATGGGGCTGCCAGCGACTCGGAAGACGGCGAAATCAAGAGTGATGGTGAGGTGTCGGAAGACGATACTTCAAAGAAGAAGGTTCGTATTTTGTAAAACCCTCGAAATTCGTGATCTTTTAGGCACCCAAAAAGGAGCGCGAGGACGGGGAGCTCGAAGATGGCGAGATCACGGATTCAGACGATGACGCCATCGTTGTCAACATGAAGCAAAAGGTTCAATTTCTTTGCTCATCTTGTTTGGAACACATTTTCTATGCAGCATCCTCGAATCAGCGGTCCGCGGCTAACCTTAGCCGGGAACACGCGCGTTATGGCTAAAAAGGTCGGGCCGGTGTTGGTATGAAAGCGTAACATTCGCAATTAGTCGCCGCACGCTAATCGTCGTTTTGTCCCCTATATGAATATTCATGACACCATTTCCCCTTTCTCCGCATGATTTGGTAGTAATTTTCGACTGGATTTCAGGAAATAACTTTTTTATTTCAGGTCGGCTCGGGTCCCACGGCCAGATTTGGAGGAGCTCCCGGTAAATTTTTACTTTTGTGGGTTTTTAATAGAATTTTAGGTGTGTCACGTACTATTTCGGCCAGTTCCTCGTCAAAGCCGGAAAACTCATGGGCGAAGGGTCTTCGAGAGGCTAGAGAGGTTCGTTTTTTAGCTTAATTGTGGTTTATTTCTAGCGTTTTATCTATTAGGCGCGATCAAGAAAGTATCCTCGCTCAAAAACCATTTTTTTTTGTCGATAGTAACCTCGGTTTCCATGGTTCCCCTTTTCCAGCTGCTCCGCAAATCCGACCAGAAAAAGATGGATCCGGATTTTGAGGAGAAACGCAAATATGGACGTCTTTCCGGCGAACAGGACTGGGCCAACGATAGCGATGACGAAAAGTGGAAAAATCTTATGATTTATGAATTATGAATTCTTAGAATTCCCTCGCTCCTCTCCATCGAAGTTGGCGCACCCCGCCGTAAAGCTGCTCGTTACAAGGGATACGATTTGGCCAATGGTAATCTTCATGTTGACGTTGCTTTTGCGTGTTTGCATGGGTTGTGCTGTTTTGGTGTCGTCTTGTTCGCGTTGCAAAATTCTTCTGCTAACATTTTGTGTCTTTGAAACTCACAGTAGTGCGGTGATTTCGGGGCTTGCTTTGCATGTGTTTTACGCAGGCGACTACACGCACCATGTCGATAGAATACTGGAGCGCGAAGAGGAGGAGGAGAGGATAAGACGAGGACTCGGACCGGGGCACACTTCGCCGCCACTGACGCCACGCTGGAGCGCCGGGTTGCTGGACAGATATGGAAGACCGTTGGACATGAAACGTCGGTTGTTGTGTTATGTTTATTTATTTGTGTTTTTTCGTGTAATGCTGTTTGTGCCGTCCAAAAATGATTGGCTAACTTCTTGTATTTACGTGTATTTTCCGGTTTAACTAAAAAAATTGTAACGTACCGATTACTTTGCCGCCGATTTAGATTTTTTTAACATCCCAATTACAGAGCTCGGCCCGCAATGCACCTATCCGGATCGCGGCAGTCAACAGAAACGCCCTGACGGGTGTGTATTAATTTCCTTTACTAAATAGGCACTTAGGCGTCGTCCCAGCTCTCCATCTCGCCGTGCCCGCACCGGAAGCAACATGACGCCCGTGTCTTCCCGTAGTGGCTCCGGCTCCAGATCGCCCAGTCGCAACAAGAGCGGAAGGAAACGAAACGGGCGCAGGTATGACTTTTCATTAAAACTTCAAATTTTCTTTTAGTGGGTCCGGCAGTCGCACACCTACAAACGACCTGACTACCTATCGGATTCCCAAGCGAAAGGGCAGGTGTGTGAGAATATCATTGAATTAGATTTCAATAATGCCATCGATTAACCCTTCACTTGCAGACGCTCTCGATCTCCATCAGCCGACCGCCGCTCGCCGTGGCGTGACATGGATCCGAATGGCCCGGCGATGCTCCGACCAAGGCGTGCCCAATACAACCAACGGAATCAAGCACCGCCTCCCCCGCGTCGTGAACCGAATCAACCGATTGATCTGCAGCCGACTGGTGCTGAAGATATCAGTGATGACGAGCTGGTTCGTGGTTTTAGAATTAGGACTTTATGTGTCTCCTTTGGCAGATTCCTTTCATTTTCCTGAAAATCCTTTTTACGAAATTTTCTGTGGCGCGAAATCAAGCTGATCTGGCAATTCGGCTTTTTGCTTGCAGCTATTTAGGTTCCGAGATTCCTAAAGTAAGGACTGCTCTGGTGGCACATAAATTTTAACACCTCGAAAAGAAAGAAAACGATGTTTAGGAAAAACTATTTGCTTGCCTGATCTTTTTTAAAATCTGGGTTTTTTTTTCAGAAGCCAGTCTCCTCTGGCTCTTCCCGATCATCGTCACGCTCATCTTCACGTTCCTCATCGTCTTCTTCTGGATCATCTTCGGACGCCACCTCCCGCTCTACAAGCCCGGCCCTGCCTGCCAAATACCGCACCGTCAACTCGGCCTCACCGTCGGCTGTTAGCGCCGAGAAGCCGAAAAAGGTAAAATCGAGTTGGGTTATCCATTTGTATTTTTTTAGAGCCTGACTCCTCCGAAAACCCGTGTGCGATCGCCGGCACCGAAGCGCATCCGGAAAGCGCGCACTCCATCGGCCAGCCCTCCTCCTCCTCCTCCACCACCACCACCGCCCGCTCCTCCCCGCGATGATCATCGCCGTCGGGAAGAGCGCTTTGTGCGGCGTAAGTTTTTCGGACCTGTGCTGTTAGCGGGGGGGGGGGCTGACTTTACGGCGCACAAAGTTACAAAAAGAGTGTATTTCGATTAAATTGCCACCCCCGCTAATAGTTTTGCTGTCCTTTTCTCGGTCTTGGATGAAGTTTCATTTCCAGAGCCAGTGCAGCCGAAACAACGTCAAAAGACCAAAGAGGAATTGCTGGAGGAACTTCGCCGCGTCGAGGAGCGTCTCCAGCGCAAACGTAGACAGGCGGCCATGTGATGAAAATCCCGAAGCGCCGACGCCAAATACGAAAAGCCCACCCGTCTTTCCGGTCACCCCATCCTACTTGAGTCTTATTCCTTCCATTCCCGTGACCCTGTGCACAATCTAGTGGAATAGTCGAGATCTCTGGACAAAATCCTAGTGCCTAGACAAAGCGTACCCTCAAACCAACCATCGACTGTGTTAATAACGTGCCTCCATGCATTTTTGTGTTTGTGTTTTTTCGAGGGGTTTGTGTGGTGATTGCTTTTCCCGCAATTGTCCGCAAGCTATGTTCTTTTCGAGCTCACCGACCCCACCCCCCTGTTTTCTATTTGTATAGTATCTAATCTTTCCTAACATACCTACGGTTCGTCTGTCTGTGTTTCAGCCCTGCACATGCGCTAGTCTCTCCTAATATGCCCTAGCACCCACTATCTTTCTCTCTCTTTCTGGTTGTTCTGTATTCATCGTCTAGTTACCCCATCCCATCTACCGAAACCCCCTCAAATGCCAAATATGAGTGGTTATTACGTGATATTGGTTTTTTTTTACTAATAAATTTTTGGGATCGAAGAACAGGAAACACGGACTATAGACACCGTTTCGTTGCCAAATATTTCAAGGCGCGTTGGAGCAGCGAATAGCTTTAACTTTCTTTCATTTAGAAACATGGTACGAGTAGACAAGCAGGTCGTTCACCTCGACACCGCAAAAAGACCGAAGAAGGAGAAGGCCAAAAAGAAGAAAACGAACCTGGTCCGCAACAATTTGACAAAAGAAGATAAGGCAAGCCTGAAGTAAGTCCTAATATTTTTACCCTTCAATCTCTGCTTTAGATACGCGAGCTTCGAACCGTTGTACAAATTGTGGTGCGAATACTTTAGCGGGCTGGCTCCGGCGGATAAAACTATAGATGACCGATTGCTAAAGGTACTTCCAATTTGAAATTTTTAAAAGGCAATGCTTGAGGCTGATTACCACGGAGCACTTTTGATGGTGACGGAAGCCGATAATCAGTGTCAGGTATTTCCTTTAAATACTTTTGGTGATCTACGTTTTCTTAGGTTGGCCTGCACGGGATCGTTACCCTAGAGACCCGATACACCATCCAAATGATCACACGAGCAGACAAATATATAAGTAAGCTTTTCCCAGGTTTCTCAGCAATTACTTTTTATAGCAATTCCGAAACAAGGCTCCGTGTTCCAATTCGTGATGGAAGGCCGCGTCTTCTCCCTCTTCGGCGACCAAATGCAGCAAAAGCCCGATTTGCGAGGAAAGAAGGCTCGGGTGCGCCAACCGCTGCGCATTTTTCTGCGGTGATCTTATGGCGTGTCGCAAGCGTTGTGGCACATATAAATCTTTATTACAAAACTATTATTATGCTGTTTTGACGACGGATGAAAAAGTGCACAGCGACATCCTGAATGGGTTTGATTTTGTTGATGGCGTAGATGTCACTTACCTAAACAGACCCGTGGTATACCCGTCACTGGTTGGTTAAGCTCAAAAATGCTTAAACTTTTGTGTTTGTCGGCTCCGGGTGGGCTTCAGCGGGGGCGTCAACGTCGGATGTGATTCTGAATAGAGGCTCATTCAGGTTTTTGTGCGTTTTTTACCTAGTTCTTTCTTCTCGCGAGCTCTGACTGCGCCTTCTTCGGTAAAACATTGTATACGCGATGGCCATAGAAAGAATGGCCACCGCTAGGCAGATGAGTAAAATTGTGACGATGGAAGCGAATAGTCTGCCGTCGGCCCACGCTTTGCTCCAGTCTAGAAAAATTCATATAGGTGGCATTTCGCGCGTTAGCTTACCATACTCCTCACACTTTCCGCTGAAACGGTCGCAAGCCGCGCAGTCTTCACAGGGATGCTGACAAGCAGGCCCGAAGAAGCCCTTGCTACATGGCTGATCGCAAACTCGGCCCGTCCACCCCAGCGGGCAAGCTAGAGAAAAATCGGTAAACTCGATCAGTTTTTAACATACGTGAACAGACGCCCTTCACACGATCCCGAAGAAAGCCGTCGCAGCATTCATCGCTGACCTGGGTCCCGTTGGTGTTCGTTAGTTGCCTAAAAAGTCTAACGCTTGCCTTAGTTTAGTAAAAACCAGCCAGCGACTAATTTTAGGGCATCGGCAAACATTTAGTCATAGAGAACGACATGGTCTTTGCCTGGACTCCAATTTTCAGGTCTCGCGCACGCCAGAGTTCAAAAATAAAAAGAAGCGACGCTGTGAGACCGAAGGGTTCAATATCTCCAATTTTTCCGGAAGTACCGCGGACACTATCGAGATCAAGCGACTCACTTGACGCCATCCCGACAGACATCGGCCGTCAGCCCGCAGCTAGCTAGAATACAAAATATGAGGAGTTGAATAAGAGGAGAAGCAGCCGCACGGCCGCCCATCCCCGTTTCACAGCAGCAGCACCGTGTCGAGGCCAAGCAAATGGCTGAAAATGGAGACGGTGATGATGGAAGTGGTCGAACAAATTGCGGGGCAACTCCCCCACGGGCGGCTAAACAAATAATGGACCCCCGGTGGAGGGGTGGCGAAGCCAGAATTTCTTTTGGTAATTTGCTCGGATTGGGATGGAGAAAAAGATTATTGGGCGGTTACTAGGGAAACTGGCGGAGAAACTGAATGAAAATTTTTGCACCATCGGGTATGAGCGGTTTGGGGTGTTGGAAACCGGAAATATTATCAAGCTTCCAAGTTTTAGATGCCCGAACGCCAAACGCGCATTTTTGGGAAGAGGATTAGGATATTATTTATGATCTCGAGGGGCAACAGTTGGGGGCCATGCCCGGCAACGAGCTAGGATTTTTTGCAGCTATGGCATTGCTAGGTGGGGAAGTAGAAGGAGTAAAAAATCAGAGGTTTAAAGGCAGGGATCTCGATAGAATTCTGGCTTTTATATCGATAATTATAAAAGTATTGTTCTTCTTTAAAAGAAGCTGAATATGTTTTAGGAAACACTGAGGTGGCGGCTGCAAAATAGCGGGCGAAAACCAAGATAAAGGTCGAACATAAAAAGATTTAGGAACTCTAGAAGTTAGAAGAAGTTTCGGGCTGAAAGGGAAGAGGATATAGACGAAGATTTTCATCTTCTGCCCGCCGGCTTTTGTTTAAAAAGGGCCGAAATTTTTAGAAAAAAAGTCGAGGCGGAAGCTGGCGATTAGCGGGATGGCTGGCAGGTGATAGCCAGGGCAGAAATGAGCAGCCGACCAGTGGACCGGCCGGGGGTGAAAGAACCGGATGGATGGAATTGGCAAGCGCCCGGGTTGAAGCGGGCAAAGAAGAAGGAGGAAGGGACATTGATTCACGCGAGAGAGAGTGGACAGAGAGAAGAGAGGGCAGACAATTAGAGAAGGTGGCACAAGTGGAGAAAGAGTGATGGCTCACGCTCTCTCTCTCTCTCTCTCTCTCTCTCTGTCTCTCTCGACGAGAGAGATCCGATTGTCTGGATGGCAGGACAATTGCTCATAGTTTCGCCGGTTAGTTGGGCGAAACTACAAGGGTTTATAGCTCCTAAGGTTCTGAGCTTTTAGCGGGGGTGGGGGGGTAGCAGGGGCACTAAATTCGTCCTATATTCCGGCAGAAGTCGATTAATGAAAAGTAAATTATTTTAACAGCCTTAAAGCCTTTTTTCGATATGAAAAGTTGCTAATAAAAGCATGTTAACAATCTAGAAATTTTGATTTTTTGGTAAAATTGCATTAAACGATAAAAAATGTAGCATTTTAAAACCTTCTAGATTTTTTAGGCTTTTTAGTACTAAAAACGTTACGAATTTAGCGTCAGGTACGATAGCCCCCTCCCCGTTAATAGTCTAGAACCGGTCCGGAGGGCAACGAATGAAATGATCCCCCATCGGAATTACTTTTATTGACCGCTAACTGGTAAATAACTATTTTTTTTTTCAGGAGAGTGCAGATGAACTTGGCTACAAGATGCGTGAACGGAGATCAATTGGAGGGCAAATTCTTTCGTTGGCCGTGGGAGAAGCCGTGGGAAGGAACGCTGGCGGGGCCCAGAAGATTGTTTTCCTCGCAAAAATGAAGAGCAGATTTCAAAAGAGGCCGGTTCTCGAGTAGATGGTCAACAACAGCTGGCCAACGTCCCAAAAATGGGCCACTTGATTGAAGCGCGAAATTCGGAATGGTTTGTAATACGGAAGCGGTGCTTTCGCAACATCCGGGGGGCGGCAACCTTTCTTGTACGTCTTGAAATGCCGACAACTTACCGTAACACCAGAACATTACAACTTACCTACTCCAGAAATGCCTAGTAATTAGTAGTCGGTAGTTCATTAAAACTAGCTAGCAAAAAAGGGTAAAAGTATAACCGTGGGGCAGTACAAGTTTCATTTTTCGTAAAATTTGACTATTTTTCAAGCGGAAAACAGCAAAAACTTGGAAACAAATTTTTTTAGTCGAAATTTTGCCGAAAATTCGCCATTTTGGCAGAAAAATCAATATTTATGTGTTTTTTTAAGTCCACATCTGAACACGGGACCAGCGAACGCGAAGTTCTGCACACAATAAACTTGGCGTTGCCTAGAAACAAGTAAAATTTAAAAAAACGTTGAATTTTCAAACGCTGCCGAATATATCTTGGGTGCATTTAGCGTGTCAATGAGTGAGTGTTCATAATTGGCGGTATATCTTTATTCCATAATGCCAATCACATTTTTTTCTGGAATCACATCATGTACGTCGAGCTGAGACAAGTAAAAAAACTATTATACAGGCGATAAGTTAATTTTAAACGTGTTGTTTTTCCTTTCGGCATCAGCCATCGCGGTGCCCGCTTTCGTAGAGCTGTTTGTAGTCGTAGAGGTTGTCCTTGATACACTTTTGGCATGCTCCTAAAAATAAACATATTTCAGTGATCAGTCAAAAACTCACCGTTGATAACGGTGCGGTCAGACATTTGCATCGGCTTGAGCCTGCAAGTGAAATTGGTTACTTGAAAACCAAAAGGTAGGCCCACCTCTCGCTCTGGAACCTGCCGCAGTTCGGTGATTCCAGACACGGCTTGACCTTGGGTTCACTAGAAACGTGCTGATTTGAATACGTTTATACGCATAGAAGGTTCTGGGCTGTTAGCGAAGGGGGGGGGGGGGTAGAAACCAAATTGTTCCCTGTGATTCTCTACGGCGCTATGACAAAATATAAACTATTTCTATCGCATTATACATAGCTGTATAAAAATTTAAAAACTATATCAAAAATAATGAAATTTTCGAAAATTTTGAAATATGTTCCTTATAACGTTCTAGCCATAAAAACTACTAAAAATACTATAGCTACTACATCATATAACATCAGCAAGTAGCCCCTGAAGCAACAGCGAACTGTGGAAAAACGTGGTTTCCCCCCTGCTAGAAATCCCCCCGCTAACAGTCCAGAACCGCCAACCAAACTGGAAATGATAACAGCGCTTACCCATAGATGGCGCGGCACCCGCCGCAGCACGCCCGTCCAAACTTGGTCCGGTAGACGACGCCTCCGGGCCCGCGGTAGCAGTATCCGCACTAAAATGCGTTATCATAGCGAGTTTCGGATTTACAAGCACCTTAGTCGTGGCAAAACTGCCGGGAAACAACCAAAAACCTACCGGGCGGAAGATTTTTCCATTTCCTTCTTTCTTCGTATTCTTGCACATCGGGGCATCTTCCTAAGCCGGAAAGCATATATTTAACTACGGAGCCATCTTTTCAGGGTCCTTCTCGATTAGCGGGGGGGTATGGATTGACCGCGGAAATCTTTTTTGGGCATAAATAAATATATAAAAAAAATTGTGAAACACCGTCACAGATTTCAAATTTTGAAAAAATTAAAAGAGTTTTTCTTATTTTGCCATAATTTCCGGTTTTGGACTAGTCGGAAGGCACCCCCGCCTCTGGTATAGCCCTCTTGGATACGAATACGCAGGGCTACAAAAGTTGAGGACAGAGCGCACGCGCACAGGAGACAGAGTCCCTTTGCTCAGCGAGGTGGGAAAATGAAAATTTGACCGCCGCTAAACGGGAAGAACCCTGTTGAAAAAAAAATTGTACCACGCGGGTGATGGACACGCTTTGAAGAGCGACACCGTTGCTGAACCCGCGGATGCGCCCGTAGCAGAGGAGATGGACTCGCATTTCTTCGGCCTTCCTGAAAACAAGCCATTTTGGCCGCTTAGGATTCGCGGGGGAGGGGGAACCAGCTTTTTGAGTGAAATTTTATGAGGTCGAAAAATTGCCTTTTTTCCGCCACAAAATGCCGAATTTTCGACTTTTCCAAAATTTTTGAAATTTTTGTACTTTAAATATAAACAACAGAACAATGCCAGAAGAAATGCGGGACCGCCAGGCAAAAGTTGTCCCCTCCTAGACCGCCTTTCCCTCCAAAGGCAAATCGCGTACTGATTAACCCAATCAGGAAACCTACACGTCCGGAATCAACCCCTCTCAGTCCAGGTAGATCTCGTGGGTGGTGCGCGGAAGATCGGCCGACTCGGCGATGGCGTCGCCGGCTTCGTGGTCGAGGAACCACTCAAGAACGTCCATCATCTGAACATTTGAAAGGTATGGCATGGTATCAGGGTTAAATGCTTACAAGTGGAAACGCCATCTTCATGTCGAACTTCAATGTGATGATGGAGCGGGCCTGGGTCGGGTTCTTCTTGGACGAGGCGCCGGCGATGGGGCGGGGCACAGACGTAGGCGGCTGGGTGGTCAGGAACGCGCCACGCGCCGAAGCCGAATTCTGAAACAAAGGTAAAGTAAAAAACTATAAAAATTATTAAAAATTTTTGCGCCAGAATTTTTCCGACCGATAAATACGTCAAATGCACTTGAAAAGAGCTGGGATGATACCCGAGGTGACAGAACGGTCTGGCAAAAAGCAAAAAGTTTCCACCTACGCGGGCTCGAACCCGCGCCCGGTTACCCGGAGTTTTTTTTCAATACAATATTTTCAGCACATGGGGCGGGAGGGAGAGAGACGGACGCGCGGCATCGACGCGTTCCCCTCCCAATTTTAAGGTTGGCTTAGTGATATTCGTTTTTGGTAAATTTTTACTATTTGAATTATAAAAACTTTCGAAGTAAGAAAATTTTGCGAAAAAGTCGAAAGTTTGGTAATTTTCAGCCAAAATGAATTTTTCGCCATTTTAGCAGCTAGGCATATACAAAAAAAGAAAAATCAATCACCGGCTGCCGCCCTAGCACCCCGAAGAAACGAAATCATTGTTGTTGTACTGCGAGCTCTTTGTGGCAGCCGTGTGCTGGGGAGTGCCCGGATTCTCAGCGACGATTCTTTGCACTTCGTCGGGGGTCATCGTCAGCCTGAAACCAAATTTGCTGCTATCATCATAAATTCTATAGAAGCCTACCTTCGAGCCTGCGAAGGCGTGAGAGAGGGCCTGGCCGGCTGGATCCGATGCACGGACATCGATGGTGATATACGCGCCACGATGTGAGCTGGCGTGATGAGCAACCTGGGCGTGTAGATGGCCTCATCAGCAGGTTGCCCACGTCCGACCGGGCTCGGGCTGGAAATAAATAGATAAAGTTAAAAACCAGAAAAAAAACATACGCAATCGCATTGTAATCGACGCGTTCGGGCGGCGGCTTGTCGGGGTCGAACATTCGGCGGCGGTTCGGCTTTCTGGATTCGGCTTTCTTTCGTTTCTCTATCCAATTCAAAACTTAGGAAAATGCAAGCCATTTCCGTGCAGGCAAACAAGCCGGATGCAAAAATGTTATTTTTCGTTGTATCAAGTTTCTATTCAAATCTCTTTTAGTACTGCGTGCTTCAAACTTCCGTTGATTGATGCAATACGTTTTCAGTGAAAATTGCATTATCCCATACTTTTCAGATGGATGACTCGAAGTACTTACAAGTGGGAACGCCATATTCGCGTTGAACTTCAAAGCGATCACGGAGTGGACGCCGATCTTCTTCTCCTTGGTGGTCCGTTTGCTTGTCGACGAGCCGGGGGCGATGGGGAGGGGAGCGGCGTCGTCCAATCCGCACTAACGCAAAACGGCCACTTCATGAAGAAAGTTGGGTCAAGGATGGCCAATTACATCCAAATAATTCATATGCAATATTGAAATAAATTATGCAAATTTCAGCGAAAAGCGCCCAGGCTATTCCGCAGGCGCACTTAGATTCGTGGCTGAGCAGAAGTTTTGGCTTGTCTGAAATTTTCGGGTTATACACTATTTTTACGCTTATACGTCTTGTAGCAGAATCGTATCGCAAAAGTGAGCATGGAATGAATGTTTTTATGGAATTTGCGCTTTGACGATTGATTTGACGATTTGAAGACTACTCGTAAAATGTAATTGGAGCTAACAGCCGCATTGAAAAAGATTTATTTATTTTCAAATATTATGAATAATATTGGGGGAATATTTGCAAACACAGCTTGTCTGTCTATGCTTTGATCGGGGGGAATAGGTGAGCAATAAAATTGGATAAACAAAACCAAAAATTAAGGTATAATATTGCGCAACGGATCGTGGGGGTTGTGGTTACATGTCTTGGCGGAATTGGCTGTTTGGGGGGTACGGTATTTCGGTTGCGTTTTATAGCGAGACGGGTCACCCGAGGTTTTTGGCGGATTATTAGAGAGGGAGAGAGAAATAGAGAGACAGAGGGAAGAAAAGGCAACATGATAACGATAAAAAAAATCATTCAAATGTGGGAAATGGAAAGGCAAACATCGGCTGTGGGTTTGTCGTGGATACATTAAAAGTTAGCCAAGATAGCCGGCTGGCTTAGGTTTTGGTAAGCCTAAGCCTAAGACGAAGCCTAAGCTAACCCGGGGTCAAGTCAGCTCTTTCCACGACAAGCCAATCTGCGACGGTGATAACAAGGGTAAAAATCAAAAACTTTTTCGGGGCAACTACAAGTTTTACGAGGGTGTAAGGTACCCTGCAGATCTGTTCTCTTTTCGGGGGGTGCAACTAGAAGGACGGATGGGATAACTAACAACGGGGAGGGGCAGGGGACACGGCCGGGGTACGGTATCTGGGGCACTTCTTAGAGCGGCTCTGATAGTTTGTAGCCCTTACCCGGCTGTGGCCACACTGGGTTGTGACCGAATTGTGTGTGTATTTTCTGGGAGCTAGTGACCAATCGGGGGTGTCGATTCGAATATTAAAGGGACAGTGACAGGGGGACTATACAATTTGGAAGGGAGGGAGCACTACAAGCCAGGGTTGCCAGGAAATCACCGATTTTTGGGGGGTTTGGGGGAAGGGAAGTCGAGTTGGGAGCTGTAAAAGCGTAGCAAAATGGGGTTGGGTTCGATTGACCAATAAGGAAAATGTTTTGCAGCGCCCGGGGGTCGAACCCGGATAGTGGGAATTGGAGGCGAGAGGTTTGCCAATACACCATGGTTGTAGAGTGAACTTGTAGAACACGGGCCATCTTGAAGTGAGGGGCGAACTCCGTCCGGGCGCAAGACCCAGTTTTTTTGTATTTTCCAAAAGCAAAAAACTTTTGAACGCGCCGGAATCGAACCGTTGGCCCAAAAATGACACTTAACATTGGAACTCGACCTCCCATTCCCTTACCCTTTAAGCCAAGATAAGCAAAAGATTGAGAGGAAGCGGAAGCCGCTCAGTTGATGGTCCTCAGTCCGGATCGGGCACAATACATCAGAACATTCCAATTGGAGAGACAGACGAGGTCCTGTTTCTCGACAGCCCGAAGACGGTCGCCCGCCACACCAATGTTGCACATACGCAGGCATCTGAACCAAAAATTGATATCGGCAAAATCAGGGCATTTATGGCCTTAGAACCCGGCCTTCCGAGTCCCTTTAAAAGATGCGTGCTAGCAGAGATTATTTAGGAAAAAGTCGATTGAAGGGCCTTCTTACCTATCGCCAACACCAAGCTCATCATTGGCCATTCCCAAATGGGTACAACACGGACGATTGTCTCGATTCTGGCCGGCACAGTAGAGAATCGACGAGAGGTATTTCAGGTCGCATTCGTCTTGTTGGACCGCCTAAAGGAGTAGAGTGTACTTAGCTGGTTAGAAGGTTACGGTACCTGGATCAGGTTTTGGGCGGCGTTGTGCTCACGGTGTTCATAGGAGCAGAGGGAATGGCAGTTGGAGGGGACCTGAAATGGAGGAAAGAGTGTATTTTTTTCTCTCTCTCTCTCTCTCTTCCTCGCTCTCTCTTCACTTACATGTTGTCTACAGCACGACATAAACAGATCATCTACCGCCTTTCGCGACAAGCATGGCGAATACGGGGGCTTTGATCTGAAATTCCGAAAGTTACCAAATTCCGGTTTTTGCTAACCGTTCAGTGCCGCAATCCGTACTGAGATCCTTATCGGACACCTCGGTGACTGGATACTCGCTGTTTAGTAGTTTGTAGTCGCCGGCTGAAAAAGAGGGATTTCGGTAATTCCCCAGGGCTTTTTGTTATTTGGGTTTTCCGCAAATTTCCCTAAGGAATCCTTGCCAGTTGGCTTAGTCGTTGCTATCTTAATTTCCGCAAAAATTTCTGCTAGCCTGCCCTTCCACTCACTTTGTGGTGCTCGACGAGCGGATTCCCTTCCAACGTGGACTTGACGGGCGTTGTTGTTCTGATGTTGGGATGGTGATTGCTGAAAGTAATTTGCATTGGAAATTTACAAAAAAATGCAAAATAAAATTAATTTTCAATTTTTTACATTGGTTTGCTCTCAAGAAATTGCAAAAACCGTACTTGAGCCGATGCGGGGAGTGCGGCTCCGATTGTCTCAAACTTTTCGAGCTTGGCTGGGCAATTTTCGGTGATGTGATCAAGGCAGCCTGGCAGGCATTTTTCTGGAAATCAAAATATGGTTTTGGATGTTTTAAAGGGAAACGCAAGACCTTTCTCTCTCTCCCTCTCTCTCTCTCCCTGTCTCTCTTCTGACCTATAACTTTGTCGGTGCAGCACAGTAATTTGGGTATATTTGCACAGGGGCCCAACTCTTGGGCCATCGACGAGAGAGGGTAGAAAACGAGGAGGGGCAGAGAAGACAGGATGATGGTTGAGAGGAGACCCATCTCTGAAAAATTTACATACATTTGAGCGTTTCTCTCCAAAATCGTAATTCTTCCCTCAGCACCCCTGCTAGCCTGCCCCAGGCAATTTAGCAGAGATCCCTGTGAAATCGTCATTATTTTCTCTCTCGGAAAAGTCCCTTGAAGGTGTTGATTTGTCTTGTTGTCTGACCCATATTGTGTATGTGAGTGTGCGTGTGTCTTTTTGCGAGAATGGGCTCTTGACCGTGACCCAATTCTCGCTCCTTCTTCCGCCCTTTCCGCTCTCCCCAAACAAGGAGAAGATTTTGACAAATTGCCCGACTACACGCTACACTATCAACATTCCTTTCACGCGCCCGCGGCGCTGACGTCATTTGGAGCTGCGGGGGGTTCGAACTATTGGAATTTTGCCAAGTTTTAGATTTTCCCGTTTTTCCTACCGTAATTATTTATATGTTAAATTTTAGACGTTAAAGCACATCAATTAATGATGTTATATACAAATTACGCATATTTTCAAGACGACAAACTTTAAAACGATCTAATTTTTAAATTCCCGAAAATTCCCATCTTTTCCTATCGCAACTCCTGTAGTATCAACTTTTAAAGTTCAATCTGACCAGCTATTTACAAGATTTACTAATTAAGCCGAATTTGAAAACTACAAACTTTAGAAACTTGTTAAAACCCGCTTAAACTTTTAAAACCTCGAAAATGTGCGCTTCCTGATCACACGACCCCTCGGCTAACCGGCCTGCTGCCGGGGGCGGAGCCTCGGCGGAAGACCCTCTCCCCCGCGCCCACCCGCAGCGCCTCATTGGCTCAGTGGCAGAGCGTCTGTCTAGTAAACAGAAGGTCGCTGGTTCGATTCCAGCATGAGGCACCACAGTTTTTGCTTTTTGGACTGGGGATCGGGCTAGCTCCTTGGAAGTTGTTAATAATGTTTTTATACCTTAAAGACCGTCAGAACGATGAAATATCGTTTAGAGCAAGAAAGTTGTGCACCGGGCGGGGGTCGAACCCGCGATGGTTCGTTCCACAGTCCGACGCGCTAGCCACTATACCACAGGGCCAAGTGGGGAAGGGAGTCAGAGGCGCCCCAAACCCCAGAGGGTCTTTGCCCTATACGGGACACCACTAATGACGACGCTCTCTGCGCGTTCTTGGGGGCAGCACCCTCGGGGTGACAGTGCGCGTTCCATCGTTCTGGTAGTCTTTAAATCTTGACTATGACTTCGTTAGACCCATTTGAAGTGTGATTTAAAAGGAACTACTAGTAAATTTGAATAAAACCAACCTATTGCTGCGTGCTACAGTAGGGTGTAGGAGTGTGAATAGGCGTGTACGTAGTATAATGGAGTAATAATAGGTAGAGTAGTAAATAAAAGTGATGAAGCGGCGCGGCTTTCTATTTGTTGCCGAACAATCCACCACCGTTAGACGGTCCAAAATGGTTGGATGGCTGATGGAGAGGGTTATCCAGGGGGCGGTCCTGAAAATTGGAGACGATAGATTGATAGGAAAAGATTTTTCGGGAGAAGAACAAGAGGAAACGGATCCGGATTCACACCGGAAAACAGTCTTTTCCCCCAGCTGCGGATCCGGTTTTCTTTTAAGGCTGTTGGGGCAGCGGCTAGGAAACCTGTTCTTTTTTTGGGGGTGGGAAGAGCTGAGCGTCCTGATTATCCTGACACCTTTTAATGAAAATTTTGGGCGAATACGGGAACTTTAAAGGGGTTGGGAAGGCAGAAATCGATAGATAATAGCTTCAAGAATCTTTAGAGGTATCCGAAGGTATGAAAAATAGCAAATAGATCAAAAATTTTGGAACGGAAATGAAATCTACAGATTTTCTCGGTTGTCAATTCCTTTAAGGGACCGTAAACCCAGAAATATACCGGAATCGAAGTTATCTTAGAATGGCAGTGGTCTCTTCGATTCCTGAGGCTTTTAAAGGGCCAGCGGAGCCAGAAATAATACGAAATTATTGGGGTTTTTCCGATTTTAGCAACTCTGAACGCCTTAAAGGTACCACCGAAAAGTCCCAAATATCGGGAAATGGTGGTTTTTTCTTCAATTATTGTACTTTTAACCTCTAAATACAATGAAAAAAACTCTTATCCACAAAAAACAACAAAAAACCCCGAATCCACGTCTACGCGGCCCCTTTAAAATCTCCCCCAGAATCTTAGCTAAGGGAAACGAGCAGAGATCGATTGAAAAAAAACCCACCTGATGCCTCATGCCTCCAAAAAGTCCTCCATTGTTATTTTGGTGCGATTTGTCGAGGTAGACGTCACCTCCGATTCCACCAACACCGTGCGTTGACCTGAAAAAAACGAGGAATATTCTGTAGTTTCTCAGGCTCAAACTTCTCTTGCCAGTCCCTTTAAAAGCACCAACACGGGTTTTGCCTTGTTAGATGCTGATTTTTGTTTTCTAGGCTCTTTGAAAAGTTAAAAATCTGAAAAATCTATAGCCTCCCTGCCTTGCCAGTCCCTTTAAAACACCCCCCAAAACCCCGAGAAAATTTTTGACACTCCGCGGTTTCGAGAACTGGCTCTCGTGGGGATGGGCAGCCGTTTTGGGGGTGGGAGCCGAAGCTTATGGTGTCTCGAAATTCGCAAGAAAAGGAGCACGAGAGCACCAGCTAGCTTCTTCTTGAGCAAGAGCAAGAACCCGTCCAATTATTCATCCACCCACCCACGCTCTCTCTCTCTCTCTCTCTCTCTCTCTCTCTCGCTCTCTCTCGCCCCTCATTGCACTTTAGCACCTCCATTGCGCAATTGAGCGGCAAGTCCGGTCTCGCGAGAGCCCGAATATGCCAATCCCGAATTGACGCTGAGGAGCTCGAGCTCGGGAAGGAGAAGCCGGTTCGGAAGGGAAGAGAGAGGGACCGTGGGAGAAGGAGCAGAGATGGAGGGGGAGCCAGACGGGATCTAGCCATTCGAAGAAGGAGCTTCTCCTGGCTATGGCTTTTTCGGGAGGGGAGGAGGAGCACGAGTGTCTGGGAGTCTCAGAATTTTATCAAAATTTTATAAAGACAGTTTGTGATTTTTTAAGTCTTTTGGAGTTGAACGATGAGTTCGACAAGTTCAAGGTTAAAGGGATTGGTAAGTGGGTGGAGGGGTAACTTGCACGGGTCATTTAGGAACTAGGTAAAATGGCTAGAGTATGCTTAGGCTTAGGCTTGGGCTTGCTACATGTTGTTAGTTGTACCCTGTATCCTTCCAACCGTCAAAACTAAAACTATCTAAACGAGTTCAAACTAGGCGACAATTTTCATCTTTTATTCTGCCTATATTTCAGGGCAAAACCTGCCCACTGGAAACAATGGAGAGAGAGAGAGAAAGCGAGAGAGCGAGAGAGAAAGAGAGACACGACAGATCCGGAAAATTGGAGTTGTCCATCCGGCGGGCCGGCCAGCCGTCTCTCGCCACCACCCAGAAGCCGCCAAATATGTGTTCAACAGCAACAAAAAGGAGCCGTGGCAAATTCGGGGCGGCGGAAACCCGTCGGAGAAAGAGAGAGAAAGAGAGAGAGAGAGAGAGAGAGAGAGAGAGAGAGAGAGAGAGAGAGAGCGAGAGAGAGAGAGGTAGAGAGAGCGAGAGAGAGAAGCAATAAATACCGAATTTCTAAAGAAACATGCCATAAAATCTCAATTTTCTGAATTTTCCAAGCTTGTGTTTAGAGTTTTTAAGCCTATGCAACGCTTGAATACTAGAAAAATTTTGTACTTTGTTGAATTGACGTACTTTTTTTAATTTTAATTTCCGATTGAATCGGAGCTACATTTTTTCTTAATAAATCTAGTTATATAAAAGTAAATTAAATATATCTAGATATTAACCCGAAAACTAACCAATTTCCGGATCCGGTTCCGACGGCAAACGTTGAGGCTCCGGTCTGGGGCTGTAGATCGGAGAGGGCCAGGGCGGCACGAGGGCATGGACTGTCGGGGAGCATTTTTGAGGGTTTGATTGAGATGAGAATGAGCTGAAATAGATATTGTATATCTTTACAGAAAGACGCAAAAAGAAAATAATAAAGAAAAATACAAAAAATGATTTATGAAGCTTAAGTTAAAAGAGAGAAATTTTTTAAATGTGAAATTCGAACGGCAAACTAGCAGAAATCTTTGAGGATTTAAGATTGGAATTGGTAGGAGGTAGGCTAGCAGAGAAAATTCAGGAAATGTCAGGAACAAGTATTTAAGGACAGGAAAACCTTTAGTAAAACCCGAATCTCAGGGCAAACTAGCAGAGATTTTTTGGGAATAAGGATCGAAAGTAGAAGACGCTAGCAATATTCTTTAAGAAAAGAGGACTGGTGGATAACTAGCAAAAATCTTTAGGAAATTTCAGAAGCTCGGGCAAGCTAGCAAAGATTTATTAGGAAAACCAGGGACCCCGGGAAAGCTAGCAGAGACCATTTGAGCATCAGGTTTCCCTAGGGGCTCGTTTTAAGCTTTAAATTCTCGAAATCGAGAGGAATTTCCATTTTGGGAATTCTGGTGTTGGAATGGCTGGATGAAATGCCGTAGATGGGGAAGGAAGGAAGAAAGAAAAGTCGAGAGAAAAGAGGAATCCAGGGGGGAGGAGCCTGACTCCCATGGCTCCGCCCATCTTTTTTAGATGGAGACGATGGCGAACGGCAGAAATTAGAGAGAATAGAGGAGCGAGAGAGCGAGAGAGAGAGAGCGAGAGAGAGGGGAGAGAGAGAGAGAGAACGAAAAGCTGGTCAATCCCGTTTTGCCATCCAAAAATGACGTGTGGAAATGGCCGGCTGCTTGATTTCTGACTATCGGAATTGAAAACATTATGAAATTGTGAGCCTTTCAAGTCACTTTAAAAGGCTGCCAACTAGCAGCGGAAATTTGGGGATATTTTTAGTAATTTTTCAGACCCGTCAGACCAAGGGTAGGCTAGCAGAGGTCATTTTTATTCGCTTTCTTTGGTGCGTATCGGCCCAGAGGTCAGGCAAGCTAGCAGAGATCCGTTGAGAACGTATACCACAGACAGCACAGCAAAGGTAATCTTCCCATGTTTTCATTAATGCGCTCAAGACCAGCTTGGCGGGCAAGCTAGCACAGACCATTTGCGGAAAAACTAGAATCCGGTGAGCCAGCTAGGAGAGATAATTTGTAAAGATCAGCTAATGCTAAAAATGGCTCTTCGCAACATCACCCACTTTGCTGGATTCGCAACATCACCCACTCTGTGCTAACAAATTGTTGACCTTTCCGAACACCTGCCATCCGAAAAATGCGCCGAAAGACCCTAATAAACCTGCAACCTGCAAAAGGTACAGCCGTCCAACTTACGGGGTTCGTAAAGTGGAGCGTGACGGAACGCGATTATTCAAAGCAGCCAAGGAAGCGTTACTGGTCTGTTAGCGGGGGAGGGATTCTAAGCGAGGGGAAACCAATTTATTTTTCTGATTATACCTGGCTGTTAATAGTATATCATGTGTTTTCATAGTGTTTTAATAGTTTTTGTTCGCTAGAAAGTCGTAAAAGTATTTTAAATAATCTCGAAATTTTTTTTGCGAGATTTTTATAGCTGTGTTATACGCGATCGCGATAGGTCCCTACGGATCAACTAGAAAAATTTGGATTCCCCCGCCGGAACCCCCCGGAAAGAGTACAGTACCATCAAGTTAGCGTAGTGAGTAGCTAGGCGGAACAATGAGCCTCTGATGGAGGGATGAGCTGAAGCTGCCTGAGTTGCCAAAGTGAGCATTAGGCTGAACAAGGAGCAGCAGCATACTCGTTATACGAATACAGAACTCGTTCCTTTTGGGGGGTGTCCATTGTCTTGCCGCGTAGTCATAAGCTTCTCTCTTTAAAGGGGGGATCAAGGCTAGGGATGGGCCAATGAAGCCGGTCTCTCTATTCTCAACACAACAGCAAAACATAGCCACAAAACAATCGCGCAAGTTTTCGCCGGGGGAGAATGGATGGCAAATAAGGGGGCGGATGACGAAATGACTCCTCCAGCTTCCGGTTCGGCTCGAAAACCGGTCCGGATTTTTCGGATCGAATTTTTAAAGAAATAAAACCAAATCAATAGAATTCCTTGAAGTTGGATGGTTTTTCAAAGAAATTAGCAAAAACCAACATTTTCGAAAATATTGTATTTTAGGCTAAATTACCTTATTTATCTATCTAAAAGCGGGAGAATGCGACCAGATACTACTCTCACAATTTTGTAAAACATAAATCCAAACTCGCCTGGATTTTTCGACGCAAAAGCCATTCGAAAACCACAAAAATACCTTTGTTTCGTTTAATTAAAACAATAAAAACAGTAGCTATCTATGAAACAATTATATAAAAACAACATTTATCGATAATGGATAGTTTTGCAAGCAATCGTGAAAACATTTCAAAACTGAGCTAAAAACTTCAACACCAAGAAACTTCTTCTTGACATCACTCGACGATTTTAATAAAGTCAGCTCTGAAATTTTTTGAGCAGAAAGTCTCGCTCTAAATACAAGTTTCCTGAAAATTACAGCGCTATTGAGTAAAATATCACGATTTGAAGGCCTGATTAACAAACGATTACGCAATGTAATAGAACTATGAGAAAGCTGAACAAAATTGGCTTGGCGACCGGCCAACATTCCACAAATACCTCTCTCTGTCTCTCACTGTCTCTATTTGACCTAAATCTCTCTCTTTGGCCCCAAAATATTGTTGTTTTCACTGAACCGAGTGTATGCACTCTGTTTATGCATGCTCTCTGCTCTCCACCCCGACGAAATCGGGGTGAAAGGGCGCCCCTCCCCTCCAATGCCTGCCACCTGCCCTCCCTCTCCTCAACTCCCCTCCCACACCACCCTGTCCCCATGGCCGCGTGGCGCAATGGATAACGCGTCTGCCTACGGAGCAGAAGATTGAAGGTTCGAATCCTTCCGTGGTCGAAACTTTTTGCTTTTTGCCCAGTCGGCCGAGTAAGGCGGGGGGAAACAAACAACAGGTGGTGAAATCTTGGCGCCAAGGCCTTGGCCCCATTTTGGGTGAGCAGAAGGGTGGGGGAGGGGATCGACTTTCGGTTGATAAGGGTTTATTTGGGTGGATCAGGTGGTCGGGGAGGAGGAGGAGGAGGTTCTTTCGCTTTTCGCATAAAACTTGGCTAGATTGGGACTGGAAATTGTGAGCATGAGTTTATACGTAAAAAAATAAAAATAGGGTATATCAAAAAGTCCAAATTTTTTTAAAGAAATAAAAAAGCGCTCTTTTGAAGCTCGTAAAATTAGCTTCAAAAGAGGGAAATGGGCGTTTCTATCAAAGAATTTCCTGGAGCTCGTTCTCCTCCCCCAGGCCGCATTTTTGTTGGCCGGTTTTTGATATGATAAAGCCTCGGGAGGAGAAGCGGAAGAGGGATTGTCTGGTCCTCAAATTTTGCGGTCCCGTTTTCTTTATCAAGTCAAGACGAAGAAAGCGAGCTCGAGCTCGATTTTTATCAATCCGGTGCATCCGCCTCGTGTGCGGCGCTCGTTTATTTTTGGTGGTTGATTGCTCGAGCAGCTCGAGCAAACTAGCGGGGATCATTTGGAAAACGTAGTGAAAGTCTGGCAAGTCACTGTAGGTAGGCTAGCAGAGGTCATTGGGGAACCAAGATGGTACTGGAGCGTTAGCGGGGGGTGCGGTGAGCGGCTACCAATTTTCCCCCGGTAATCCCGAAACATAACGAAAAATAAACCGTTTTTCACAAAACTTTTACACAATTTTTAGCAATCTGGAAATTTTTTGAAATTTTAACAATTTAAAAACTTAAAAATTGCTGACTTTCCTGTTTGTTATAACTTTATCACAATGGAAAACACGTGACCTTTTATGCGTACATTCAGGCCAAATGCCGCCTATTCAATCCCTAAAGATCTCTGCTATGTTGACCAGCAGAGAAGTTAGGAATTCCCCAAGCGTCACTGCCGGCTCGCCCTGGTATTCCGATTTCATGCTGTAGTTCTGATTCCAGTAATGAGCTTCGAAAAACAAGAAAGGCCTCGACTTGGGAGTCCCTTTAAAGCAATCATCCATTGGCCTTGGATTACGGTAGCCCTCGGCATCGTATATAATAGTCCGATATCCATTCATCCCGTCCATTTTTGTGCTCCCCAAGGGCATTTCATTGTTTTTGAATGGCCCTGGCCCGTCTCGAATAGCTCTCGACAAGAAGAAGAACATTCTACCCTACTAGAATTGTTGTTGATGGGGGAAGAGAGAGAGAGAGAGAGAGAGAGAGAGAGAGAGAAGGGAGAGAGACCAAGAGATACAGAGAGTAGAGATTGTCCTTGGTGGACCTGGCACGACGCTGCACCCCCGCTTTCGCCCCTGTAGGGGATGACTGAATGACTGCTAGCCGGACAGAGGAGTCACACGTAGTTGTTTCCGGAAGTACGCGAGGGTACGGGATTTTGGGGAAAACTGAGATTTAAAGGAGCGCGCAAGTCAGAGAATCTCGGAAATTCCCTAAGAACCTCTGCAAGGCTGCTGCTCGAAGACTGTGGTCAAGAGCGAAAGTCAAAAGTGAGAAAGAAAGAGCGTGAGAGAGAGAGAGCGAGAGAGAACGAGCGTGCGAGAGATAGAGACAGCGGAGAATCTAAAAAATCCTTCCCAAATGGTCTCCGCTAGCTTCCCCCCCTTTTTCCCCGATTCCCGATCCCTTTAATCCACCCCACTCCCGCCATTGCCATCCCCAATAACCAGGAGAATAAATTGCAATACGTTAGCGGCTCGCTGAAGCCATCCCACCCCCACCGGCTCGTGCCTTTGATTTCAGTTTTCCCCCGCGCCCCGGCCGGGAGGACGAGGAACACACATGACTTTTTCGGGTCTCAAAAATCCACAATGAAATATGGGCAGAGAGAGATAGAGTGAGAGAGAGAGAGAGAGAGAGTGAGATAGAGAAAGCCAGACATCCAGCTGATGATCCTGACCCAATTTCCCGGCTCATTCC